CTTATTGGTCAAAATGGAGTGATTGGACAGTTTGTAATGCTTCTCATGGATTAATAAACAGGACAAGGAAATGTAACATTTCTAATGCAAGAGATTGGTGTTATTTTAATAACTCTGATGTTTTAGAATGTTTTGGTAAAAGTTTGTGTTTGAATTAAAAAAAAAATTATATTTATTATACAAACCATTGATAACTATGATTGGTCATCATCATCATAATCGTCATCATAATCATCATCATCATCATCATCATCATCATCATCATCATCATCATCATCATCATCATCATCATCACCATCGTCATCATCATCATCATCATCATCATCATCATCATCATCATCATCATTATTATCATCATCATCATCATCATTAATATCATCATTATCATCATCATCAGCAGCATATGGTTCTCTGAAAGGTATATTTTTTGATAACTTTTAATTTATTACTTTAGGATTATACTTCTTTACACTTTTTTATAAATAAATAATAATTGTAAAACCAAATGGTAATCATGCATAGTTTCAGAGGTGCGCTTTAGGATTTTCAGGGTTAAGAAACACACTATCAATAAAAAAACAGGGAAAAAGTCTTTTGTTTTTTACAAGTTATATAACTGTATATACATTTAAAAACATAGGTTTTATACATACACTGTATATACATTTATGAACACAAGTCAAACAAATAAAGCTTATAATGCAAGTATTTATATTTTACAAATTCATTTATTTTAAATACACAGGTATAACTATTATTGATTATTTTAGATTAAAAACTTTACAACGATCTTCTGACATCTTTTTTCTAATCTAAGTAATAGATATGTTAAGTATTTTTAAGCTAGTTTTGACTTAAAGAAAAAAATGTGTACAGCAAATTAATAATTTGAAAAACCCTGCAAACATTCTGCTAAATATTAGTAGATCTATATAGGGAGTTTGAGAGTTTTTCATTGTTTATTCCACTGTAGTTTGGCTCATTGGTTACATAGTGGACGATTAGTGGAAGTCATCAAATTCACAAACCAATAACTAGCTTTTATATCATATGTTGGAGAGTTATTGGCTGGTAACTTTAATCAAGTGCCACTATATAACCAATGCAAAAAACTCAAATAAAATGCTCAAAATGCCTATATAGGTCCATGGTAAATCCACTATAAAATTTTTCTATGGTTTATTAAAATCAGAATTGGACATCATTTTTAGAGATTTTTATAAAAAAAAAGTTATTCATAATTTTTAAAGGTGTTTCAGGAATATCAATTGAAAGTAATTTAATGGGTTTTGATTGCTTTTTAATTATTTTTTTATTAAATAATTGTTATCTTCATTTTATAAATAATCATAACTAAAATTATTGAGTAGTTATATCTTATTTAAATTAATTGATCATATTTTTGAGCATTACATTATTTAACTAAATCCTTTTATTGCAAAGTAGCATTACCTGTTTAATGTACAAAGTAAACAGTTATTTTATCTCTGATACCTATTTCCCAAAAAATGTAATGCTTTCTGGTTGTTTAATTAAAACAGTTTTCTTTAGCTTTTATCTAAATATTTTTAACATACATCAAGTTCTCCATAATATTTTTATGATGTTCAAACTTAAAAGTCTTAAAAGCACTCATAAGAAATTTACTCATGATGAAATTTTGTTAAAAAAAGTATTATAAGCTCAATTAAAACTTGAACAATAGTTCAAGTTGTATTCTGGAGATAAGATTATTTGTTCAATGTCATCTATTCATTTTGTGACAAAAATTTTTGTGTTAAAATAAAAGAAGTTAATGCTCTTTTATTAAAAAATTATATGTTCTGCTATATAAAAATTTTAAGACTGCAAAATATAATTACATCTTCAATGGCAATCTCAGCAAGTCTATCTCGCAAAATTAAAAGAATAACAGTAGATTTTATAAATAGAGCAAGATATCAAATGTTTTGAAAACATTAAGTTTTTGCAAAACTTACAATAATGAAGTTTTAATATTTTGTCAGTATTTTTGTTTTATCATAATGATTGATTGCTTGCATAAGTTTTTAGTTTGCAAGAAAAAAATGTAAAAAAAAATTGTCATCCGTTATCAGAGCAAGATGACTTATTATGCATTTTCTGTCTTAAGTTTTATAAGATTTACAAAAAATTCCTTTTAAAAAATACATTTTTTTTTAATACTAATATATTTTACTTCACTCATCAAACAAGTTTAACTTCACTTAAATAACTTTAAACGAAAGATTTTGTGCTGGCTGACAACAAAACCACTTCATAAAAAAAAAAGATTTAAGTTGCAAAAGCAAATGCAATAAATTGTAAATAACAAACAAAAAAGTTGCAATACAAGATGCTTTACCGAACAAACGCATTACAAAATAGAACATTACAATCGCATTACTGCACATCGTAATAATCAACAAAATGTGCTGATTAGTAGACAAGAATTTATTGAGTTTATTTTCAATGTTCATTTCTTACTAGCTATTTGGGCACAGTGGAACAATTTGATTAGTTGTAATTTTTCTTGTGAATTTTTGAACAAATCAAAGAATTGTAACATTTCAAATGTTATAGATTGGTGTCATGGTAGCAATTCAGAAATCATGGAATGGTTTGGTAAACTAATTTGTTTTTCTAAATTTTTAAATTTTAACTTTTTAAATTTTAAAATTTTTAACACTTTATTAACATGCTGTAAAATATCAAACTAAATTCAGACCGTTTTTTTTTTTACCTATTTTTCATGTCTATTATTTGCTAGAGCTACATGCGTGGTCCATGAATAAATATTTATAAACAGAAACAAATATCACGTTATAAAATTTGCATTTTATATTGCATTTTATTGCAAAATCCTTAAGGTCATCAAATAAAATTTATTATTGCATTTTTTACTGAAAATATAAACAATGGAAATATAAATATATAATATAATGGTTATTAGAAATAGGAATTCCCAAAGTATGATTAGAATTTAAACTGAGAACAGTATTCTAGCCTTAAAAATAATAACTTCTAGGATTTTGACAGTCCAGTTCATTTAAAATCTTTCTTTTTTTTTTTGAACCACTAAAAAGTAAATTAAATCTATAAAAGTAAAATTTATGCCAAAAATTGACATAAAAAAATAAAAATAAAAGTAAATTAAAAAAAATACCATAAATTTGATTACTGATTTGATTTGATTACTGATCAAATATTATAGAAAATAAAAGTAAATATTAAATTTTACTTTTATTTTTAAAATAAAAAAGTTACTGAAGAAACAATTATAGATTGCTAAGAAAACTTGAACGATATTATTTTTAAAGTTTTCAATTTTTGAGTTATTGCAATTCACTAACGCTCAAATGATTAAAATAATAAAGCTTTGGATCTAATGAGCATGGTGTTTTATTTTATTTTTACTGTCATCATTTCAATGAATTAAAATAAAGTTTTATTTAAGGTTTAGTCATTGCTAACATAGACTCATAACATAATAGACTCCACAAATATAACATAGTACTGATGTGTAAATAAAAGGCAATAAAATATTGGTGTAACAATGTTAAATGTAATCAATTTCTAGAAATTTATATTCTGAGCTTTATGTAATGTAAGTAATATTTTGGTTATTACTAAATAAAACAATTAAAATTAAATTTTAGGGCTCAATTTTACTATTGAAAAAAATAAATGCATTGAAATAAGTTAATTGTTTTGAATAAATAATAATAAAATACTGTTGAGATTTAACATCATGTAAAATTTTTCACAAGAAAGTTAAATATACTTGATTAGGTCTAGCCTAGCTTAAAATAAGTTAATATTTTTAACTTGTAAAGTTAATATTTTTTAACTTAAAAAATGGCAATCCATTCCAGAGTTTGACCATACAGTTTGTAAAAAAATCCCTCTCGATTATGATTTAAATATTTGAAGATGGACTTGAAGCATATAAATAGCATGAGTGCTTTGGTGGTATTTTCCAAGTAATTTTCTCAATATTGATAGAAGTTTTACATTTGTATGAGATCATCTTGTATACTTTGGTGTTTTAAGAATGTCAATTTAATTTTTTTCAGTTTTTCATTGTATGATAAATAATGTAACTGATAATAATGTAATCAGGTACCAATTTTGTTACTTGTTTTTGAATGTTTTTTAATATATTTATATTTTTTTCAAGACGAGGATTCCATACCATTACTGCCAATTCTATATGCGGGCCAAATTAACTGCAATACAGCAACTTGATTAGTTCATATTTTAGTATATAAATGATTTAGATATTATACTAAACTTGTAGTTTGCAATAGATGATGCAATTTTGCTTTGTGGTTTCCATTTTAAATCATTTGAACTTAATACAACCTTTTTTTAATTAGGTATTACTCAATTCTTGCTTTAGATTATTGTTAAACAATGCAATGCAAGAACTAAGTATTTATGAATTATATTTTTGAATTATATTTTTGAATTAAATTTTTAATTACCCATATCCGTGATTTCACATTTTTCAAAATTAAATTACATCTTCCAGTTTATTGCCATTCTAATGTATCAATGTAATTTTGCAAACTGGTTGCATCAGTTTTATTGTTAACTTCAGCTATTACTATGATACCATCTGCATACAGCATTATTTTATTTACAAGTTGAATAGGAAGATCATTAATGTATAATAAAAATAAAATTGGACTAACTCCAGATCATTATAGCACACCACTCACTATATTTGCTCAAGATGATGCTCCTTAACCCTTTCTATCGGTTAAAAAAGCTTTTATACACTTAAATAACAACTGTAATATCATATGCCTCAAGAGAACTAATTTTAAAACTAATCTTCTGTATGACACTTTATTGAAGGCTTTTTAAAAATCTATTTAAAGGATATCAAATGATTAACTAAATGATTGTTTGTGTGTATTACAGAAAAATGGACAACATGGAGTGAGTGTTCTGCAACGTGCGGAATGGGTAATAGAAGTAAATATTCGCAACATGAAACAATAAAATTAATAAAAGTAGAAAGTTGTTTTCAAATCAGCTGTCCAGGTATTAATATATTATTAATATATTTTTGATTTATTTTAATTTCTATTTTTTACATATACTTACTATAACAATGGGATATCTTTCTTTTTGAAAGAAAAATTATTAACCAGGTAATTTTTCAAAATGCAAGTTTATCTAATAGAATGATTGATCACACTTACTCTATTTGAAACTGTTGTTTTACTAAGATATATACTTATGCAAGTATACATTTAATATAAGAATTTTATGAAAAATTAGAATAATATATTTAAATGTCTGACAAATTAGAAACCTTAGAGGTTTTAAAACAGCTTTGAAAAAATAGTTTCTATGTAGTACTTTATTCATCAATAATACCTTATTAAGTTTAATTGTTTGACTTTAAAAGTCTCAGGTTTAATGGATCAATTTGCAAGTGTGGAAGTTAAATTATTTATAATATTAAACAGATTTCATAGTTTCATATGTAAACTTTTGTAAGTTTGAAAATTAAATTGACTTTCAATCTTCAATTCTAACAGCTAAATTTTTTTAAAAATAAGGGTTTCTTGTCATCAAGAACAGCTTTCCAATAAAAAAAGAAAAAATTTTGCTTACTGTTTTACATAGTTGGGTTATTTTATAATTCAGGGACAAAAGCGAATTTCTTCAAGTCAACTTTTTTTTCAGTCAAAATTTGTTTTTTAGTATGTTAAAATAAGCATATAGGATATAAAAATTAAACCAGCAGAGCTTAACTTCAAGAAATGTATTTTAGAAATATTTTATAATAATCGTATACAAAATACAATTTTTTACCACCATCACACTTACACAACTATTTTAATAGGCCATTAGGTTGTGCTAACCAGCTTCATATGTAAGCAGTTATTAAATTTTTGATAGTAAATCAAAATATATGAGTCTAGTTTGACAAAAGCTTAAATGAAACTGTGGAGGTGTTGACAACTTAGTTTAACAATTTCAAAAGCAATCTTGTAAATGTCATAATTATTGTTTTTAAATTATGCACATATTGTTTTCAAAATTAGAATATAATGTTTAATGAAAAGATTTATAAAATACATATCTAGAGTTTGGCTTTATTACAGTTGGGCACAAAAAATCTTCTGCATTTTTTGACGTCAGTCTAACACACATTTGGTATACCCATTTTCCACACTCTTCACATCAACATATAGCTATTTTTTTAGCATTGTCACTAAAACACTAACAAATCTGGTTGACAGCCACATGACTTGATTTTAGTTGTCCGCTTTTAGTCCATCCATCTGACTGGAAGTGGATGGCTTAAATGTTAGGAAAAGAATCTCAATTGTATTTCAAAAGTGGTGATAGGTGAACCCATATAGCTGAAGAATCATTCCGTTGAAAATTTGAAGTTGTGCAGAATGATAATTTGGTATCTCAAGCCATGTACAAAATACCAGTATGTAGGAAAACTTGACGAGCCTCCAAAATAGACACTTTGAATTTTGATTCATACCTACAAGACCAATTCTCAGTAAAATCAATATGTACTACACAATTATTAGAATCTTTTAGAATTGCACGCCGACTAAGCCTCTATGAACTTGCTACTGGTCCATATATTGAAAACAGGTTTCCTGAAATCTTTAAATTTGCCACAAAATAAAGCTACAAGTTCTGTCGCTGTACCATGCCCTTACAAACAACTTTGTATTTAACAAATTATTAATGACCACTTCACATGGATAACAAGCTATTGATTGTGCAATTTCTTCTACCCCTTCGACCACTGCAAAATTTTAATCTTGGAAATTTACTGGTTGATTCATTTTGTTAAAGACCTTTGGATTGATCAAAATATGCTAGCTTATAAATATATAAATATACTAACCTGATGAAATCTAATGTGACTGTGTTGATGTTTTATTTATATGACAAAAATTAAATTTTTAGTTAAAAACAAAAAGGAATTTATTATTTCAATAGTGAAGGTTAATATTGACAAGACAATGGTTAGACATGACCTGACACCTAGCGAATTGATTAAAATCAAATCAGACAGACAGAAAAATCAAGTAAGTACTGATTTCATAGAAAGAGTCCGTGAAGGTAATGATGTAAAAATACATTTTTAATTGTAACTTCATGGGAATATATTTTTGTCGCAGTAGCTAACAATTTATCAAATATTATATGATAAAAACTTAAATTACAAGTAGTTGCTTGAACAGCAAGAAAACCATACTCAGCCATCTTTGAACAGCAAAACTCGTAAACGTTTACTATAATATAGTTGCTTTACATATAATATTATTAACTTTAGGAGTTTTTATTATAAACATCATAAAGTTACTTTCATAGTATTTAACTACGTTCACTATAACATGTAATATCCTGAATTTTATAACATATAAAATCCTTTCAAAACTTAGTAAGGAATTCAAAAATTTTTAAGTTAAGTAAATTGAGTAAAAAAAAATACAAATATGGTTATTATTTTTTTTATTTATGAATAAAATTTCCAAAAGCAAAAATTTTAGTTGAATGATTATTGGAAATTATACCATAAAGATGAAATCCAATTTTTTTTTTTTTGCAGGTGTGTTGTCAATCATCAACATGTCAAGAAAGCTATTTAACCTTAATACTTACTTCAATGTTTATAATAAAAATAAACTTTTTTATTGAAGAAACAGTCACGTAACGGACATTATCTTTTTTTATAAAATTCTTTCACTACCCTCACTAATCATTTTACTGTCTTTTTATCTATCTATTTATCTATATGTCTATTTTATCCATCATTTATCTTTGTATTAGCTATCATTTTTTTATCAATTTTATTTTGGTTTAATAAATGTTTTATAGATTTTAACAATTCTAATCCATCTAAATTTTTTTTCTTCAAAATTCTAAATGACAGTAGAGGAAATTTGTCTCATAAGGGTTGATATGACTGTGCTAATGTAAATTGAAGAATATTAGATTAAGGTCAAAGACATTTGCCTAATAATCTGGTTGTTTGTATTTTGTTTCATTAAGTTCAGCCGTTAGATCATTAGACAAATGCTTTTCTTTTACATAATTTTATGTGTTTTATAAATTTTATATATAAGCTTGAAATTCGAAGAAAGACACATTTTTTCAAGACACGGCCAATACTTTAAAACCATGTAGGAAATTGAACAGAAAATTATTTACAGATTACAGATCACTTACAACAACTTATAAACATGTTTTATCAATGCTATTTTTGTTTCTATTCATGCGTATCTTTATATATTTATTTACTAATGTTTATAAGTTTATTTGTTGTTTAAGTTTTTATATTTTTAAGTTTATTAATTATAGTTATAAAATAAATTATATTTTTAAATTTATTTAAGTTTTTAATTTATTGGTTTAAGCTACTTACTCTTAAGTGCTTAATACACAGTGGGAAGTGCTTATAAATTTTTGAAAAATTTTTCCCACCCATTACAAGCTTATTATTACCCTCTGTATTACCACCACAAGCTTATTATTACCCCCTGTTTATTTATTTAACTTGTTGTCAAAAAAAAAACATCGTTTCAAAACTAAAAGAAAATCAGGAAAAGTAAAGTTCAAAACTAAAAGAAAATCTTGTAAATCTCAATTTTTTAAAAAATTAGGTTTTGTTTATTTTTCACCATAATACAAAACTTTTATAAGCATATTAAATCCGATAAAATTATGACGAAACAGATGTTAAGAAAATGTGCATTTGACTGCAAGCCAAACTAGAATCTTTAACAGTATCTGTTATTTCACCACCTAGGGAAAATCTGTTATTTCACCTCTCTTGCATGGTTCAGATTTTGTTACCTCATCTAGAGACAAAGCTGAACTGTTTGCTAAGAACTTTTCATCAATCTCACCTCTTGGTTCCATTAATCGCAATTACCTCATATAGCTGACAAACTGGTTGATCCATTGCTTGAAATTGTTATCACTCCAGCTTCTGTGTTAAAGTGATTTCCTGCATAAACTCTTTTACAGCTTGTGGTCCGGACAACATACCTATTATAGTCTTGCAGAATTATTCTGCAGAGCTATTGCCTATACTTTTAAAACTATTTAACAAGTACTTATCAGTCTTTATTTAACAAACATTTAATTTCTCATCTTGAATCTAATAACTTAATTTCTAATCATTAATATGGACTTCGATCTTCTTGTTATGCTGTTGATTTGTTGATGTAATAACTGATAGGTTTTTTTATGCATTAGATAGATGTGGAGAGGTTAAGGTTATGGCTCTCGACATTTCTAAAGTCTTTGAGAAAGTTTGGCATGCTGGTCTTTTCCATTAGCTCACTTATGGTGTATCAGGTAACATCTTCAAGATTATTAAATCCTCTTTTACCAATCATAGTATAAAGGTTTTATTTTAGATAGAAAACATTATTCTTCATTTCCTGCAGCTTCAAGCGTTCGTCAAGGTTTTATCCTTAGCCCTATACTTTTTTTAATTTACATTAACGATCTCCTAGAAGTTTTCACATCACAACAGAAGTTTCAACATCAAAGTTGGCATTGTTTGCTAATAATATTACCATTACTATTTATTCTTATCTTGATAAAATGCCAATTCCGTTAGATCACACATCTACTACAGAGTAGGGTTTTCAGTGGCTGGTGAACTCTAACTCAGATAAAATCAATATAATTGTTATCGCAACAATCTAATATAATTGTTATCGCAACAATCTAGATTGTCCTATATTTATGAATGGTTATGTACTCAATGAGTCATATACCTGCATACAAAAATTTATTGAATACTTTTGATATGTCAAGATCCCTTGCCTCACAGCCTTCGTCTAATGCCCAATATAATCTTTTAGTTATGCAAACTACTTCACAACCATTACCCTTTCTATGAATTATAAAACAAACTTTAATGGAAGACTTCTGAGGGTATCTATTGTTCCAAAGTTAACCTTGTCTAATATATGCAAAAAATTTTCAAGTTATTGTTTTAGAAGGTTATTAGCATATTTTTAGTTTTATTTAGGTAATATTTTTATAGTTGTTGTATTTATAAATATTCTTCGTCTGATGTTTTTCTTAAATCGAAAAGAAAAACAAAGGTAAATAATTTTTGATAAAGAATCATTGTAAAAACTGTTTTAAATAATAAAATTAAAATTTACTAGTTTATAAAAGTTTGAAAATAAGCTGGTTTGGTTATGCATTGTATAATTAAAATAAGTACAAACAGTTTTTATGTTTGAAGGTAATCACTAAAAACAAATTCTGCTTTTCATTTCAGGTAGTCATGCAATAACATTTGACATGGCAAAACAATTGAGAATTAATTTTCCAAATGTTGTGCCTGAATATCAACTTTGTAAAAGCTGCTATGATGCATTAATAAGTAAATTTAATGAACAAGATATTTATGAATTTGAGCAATCTTTTTCATTTGCAACTTTGGAAAAGAATCAGTCACGAGAGGCATTAAATGTTAGTCTTGAAATAATAGGTGTATCCTACATTCTTATAATCTTCATACTTTGACAAATTATGTCAAAGTATGAAGATCATATTTTAAAAGTATTTAATGCTAGGGAAGCAGAACTAAAACATAAAATTCCTCATACCAAAAGTATTGACTAAAGTAATTTCGATGATCTAGACAAACTAACAGCAGAAATAAATAAAAAAGTTAGTTGTTTCTGACCGTAGAATTCAAATTCAGATGTTAACTTTTACACCTTAGTCTTGGTCAAGAAATTATGCTGCGTAATATTTTAACGTCCCTGATACCTGAGACATTTGCAGTTCCAGACACTAAGAATAATAAAACATTTTCTGAAATAAAATTAAATAGAGTCAACAATATATACCATGATGAAGAATTTACTAGACAAATGCCTAGTAAAAAAGATTACGTAAGTTTTTGTAGAAAACAACACATGCAAAAGCGCCTGATTTTATGTAATCTTAAAGAACTGCATAATTCTTTTAAAACTAAATATGCTCAAGACGTTATTGGGTTTTCTAGGTTTTGTATTTTAAGACCCAAACCACACAACAGCAATTGAAGAATACAAATTGATGTTATCAGAGGCAATAAACAAGTTAACAACTCATTCCTACATTGCGAAATGCAAGCAAGATACCTAAGGCAACAAAACGAGAAGTTGAAAAAAGATGGCTGTATTGTCTTGGTGACTTTGCAGAAAATTGCTTGTTTGTGATTCAAGATGAAATCCAAAACTATAATTTGTGCAAAACTCAATGCACATTACACCTAATTGTCCTCTATTAATTAAATGAAAATGACCAGCTTAAAGAAAAATTGTTTTGCTTCATGTCAGAAAGCACAAATAGTTAATTATTCAAAAGAATATCATCCTAACATTATAAAGATTCATAATTTTTCAGACGGTTGTGCTGCACAGTATAAAAACCACAAAAACCTTTACGATATCTGTTTCCATAAAGATGATTTTTTTATCGATGCAGAGCAGACATTTTTTGCTACAACTCATGGTAAGTCACCATGTGATGGTATTGGTGGTACTGTAAAATGATTAACTGCAAATGCAAGTCTACAAAGGCTCAAAAATGACCAGATATTGAATTGTAATAAAATGTTTGACTACTGTACAAACAATATTTAAGGGATTTTTTTTTCAAGATTGAAAAAGAAAGACTGACAAAATTGCACATCACTTTGAAAACATGTTTTCAGCTAAGTAGATCAATTCCTGGAACTAGGAACTATCAATTTAACCCAGAATCTATAGATTATTATATACTATAAATTAATTTTCTTTCAATGATTTGTTTCAAATGATTAGTATGATAAATGAAATTGATTTCAATATTGAGCAAGGTTTATGGTAACATTTATGCTTCCACACAGTTTTTTAACAAACTTTTCTGGCCATCTAAAGCAGATAAGTATTGGGTTCCAATTACCAACATAGTTTAGAGCATCGATGGACCTGTAACAACAACTGTGTGTTTGTATACTTTGACTGTTGATGCATCTAAGCAAATATTAACAAAATCTTGACACTTTATTTTTTTCTATTTTATTTTGTAAGTAATTAAATAAAATGGAAAAAGTAGACAAGATTCCGCTCAAAAAAGGAGGGCATATGCCCCTCCCCCTCTACTAGTGTCTTGAGCCTTAAAAGCAATTTTAAAATGCACGTTTATTGGCACTACAAAAATGGCGAATATTTCAGAGCTCCATCTAGTCTGAAGAGTAGTGAAAAATATAGTGCAAGATTCCGTTACAAAAAAGTAGGGCCGGTGCCCTGTTATCTATATATGGAAATCCACATTCTTACAGATCAAAGTCCTTATGTTTTATAAAAGATTATTGAATATAGAATGACATGTAATTTTTTTTTTTTATCAAGGCCACATCAAAATTAGGTATATAAATAATTGCCTAAGTTTATTTAAATTGATAATTACAGGTACTTAATAATAATTTTTTACTTTTCTGATTGTTTTATCAGATTCTTCACCCCTAAAAACATCCAGTTACAAAACTTTAAGTGAAAATATCAAATATTTTTAAAGCTATGTGATTTGGAACCTTTAAATAAAGGTCACAATTCTGTGGGAACAAGAGGAGCCTGGTCAAGATCTGTTAAAAGTATGATCATATTTTAGGATCTTTTTAAAATCCAAAGACAAAGTTTTCAAGAATTTCATATTTTACTAATTACTCTAAACTCTATAAAATTCAGCAAAATTTAAGACATATGGTGACATTTTTTAAGTTTTCGGGATGAATTGACATGGAAATAGTCTGTACTTATAAATATTCTTCGTCTGATTTTTTTCTTATAACATACTTTTCTTTTAGCAATTTTTTTATTAACGCAAGTAGTATTCTAATATTTTTAATTATAATTTTAAGTTATTATAAATTATTGCTTCAAACATTAAGATATTTAACTTTGTAATTGCACTTTTTCATATATTTATTTACAAATTTATTATTAAGTTTATTATTGATTTCTAAATTTGTTTAGATTTTTACAATTCACTTTAACATTTGAGAGAAATTTTTTATATGTTTTTAAATGTAGAAGTGTGAATGACAAGTTATTCGTTGAAAGATTTTTGGATTTTTAGAGGATGGAATGTGGGGGGAGTGGAACAAATCAGAATGTTCGAATACATGTGGTAAAGGAATAAAATTCTTAAGTAGAAGTTGCGATAATCCACGCCCATCATATAATGGTCAACATTGTATAGGTGTCAGCAATTATACTGAAGTTTGCAATAATGATATAATTTGTCCACGTTAGTTGCTTTTTTTACTGCTTTTATAGTTTGATTGGATGTTGTTTTTTTTATATTTTTTATGGGAAAAAAATTATATATTTTTATAGTAAACGGTAATTGGTCATTTTGGTCATCTTGGTCATTATGCAGCCAACCATGTGGAGGTGGTTTACACTCAAGATTTCGGAGCTGTTCAAACCCTGTGCCGAAATTTGGTGGTCAGGATTGCAATGGAAGCGTTAAGGAGTTAACCAACTGTACAACGCATAATTGCAAAAGTAAAATTATCACAGTTTTTTTATTTTGATTTTTTATAACTATATCTTCATCAATCTTTATCAATCATCAAGTCTATAAATCTATCAAGTTTTGTTTTTTTGAGTTCTTACCTAGCTGTATTAAACTCAACACTTTTTAAATAACGCATTTATTATATTTTTTACTTTTTATTCGATAGCTTATAAATTTTAAAACCAGTTTCATCCTTCACCAAATTAAAATTATTTATTTAATTTATGATTTTTATAACATAAAAGAATAAAAATATTGTTGTTAATTAAGGTGTCAAATTAAATTTGAAAGTGAATTTCATTGATGAAATGTATAACGATTGGTATTCCATATTAACAAGTACAGAATCTTTATCACTTAAAAAAAAAATTCAAGATGCGGTAAGAAATAAACTGATTTTTATGCTGTTTTATGTTTCCTTATAATTCTAAAATATTTTCATTACGTCATTTATTTAGATAGCAAAACTTTACTCTAATCGTAAAGTAAAATTCAATGTTGTTATACATTCTATAGAGTAAGTAACCTAACCTTGAATGGTGTATATATATATATATATATATATATATATATATATATATATATATATATATATATATATATATATATATATATATATATATATATATATATATATATATATATATATATATATATAAATATATAGTTTTGGTGTTTAACTTTTTAAAAATTATGTTTATTTATATCAAAAAAAATTTTTTAAAATTTTTCAATTACGTGCATAAAATGTTAGAAAGATTTTTTACGAAGTAGTAATAACACTTTATCGGAAAGTGATAACTTCTTATTTAGTCGTAAAGGAATTGTATATATTTCTTAATACCACCCTGTTGTCGTGGCAGAGCAACACACCCTTAGTCAATTTTCCTCAACGTTTTTTCTTGATGGCCTCGTTTAATTTTTCTAACATCGTTGCGTAATATTCTCCGGTTATGCTCCTTCCTTTGTAGTCAATGAGTAATATTCCCTCACAATCCTAAAATACAGCAGCCATCAACTTTATAGCCAATTCCGACACTCTGAATCTCTTTGGCAGTGATGTCCCTTTTTTATACCATTGTATGGACTCAGGTTCAAAGAAATTGGGGCAAGGAATACTCGTGCCTCTTCTGAAACAGCGCTGCTGTTTCTGATGAGGCATGAGCAATCTTGGTACCCATCTTGCATTGACTTGAAGTATCAGATAACAACATATTACTAGGATTCGTAATATGTTGTTATCTGATACTTCAACTAATGCAGTTTCAAACAGATAACTATTTTTTTCTTCAAACGGGTGTTTTCCATTACAATTTTTCCCACTTTATTGACATTGTCTGATGTAGTGGCCTCAAATAGCTTTCCTGAGCGGGGTCATCTTTAATTGACTCCCGCCAATGATTAAAAAGACCATGCCACTTGTAAATCATTGATTTGCCAGGACACTGTTCCCCATAAACTGTTTCTATTTTATTAAAATGGTCTGAGCGTTCTTTCGTTTGGTAATGAATTTTATCACAACACGTTGTTCAATTTTCTCCGTAGTTTCGGTTTTTCTTCCTGATTATATATTTGTTAGTTTTTCTCTTCAGTAACGATCCTTGAGCGTTTGAAGCAACATTTTTTTTTGTCTTTATTAAAATATAAGAGCAAAAAGACAGTATCGAAGCTACGAAATGGTGAAGAGACTATCTTAGAGATTGGTTACACAAAAAGTAAATAAATTTAACAAGATTTTAATGACTTAGTTGATATTATTTTGGGAGATGAATATTTTTTTACGAATTATAATTAAAAACCTAAAAGTACTCCTGTTTTTTCCGGAGTACTTATTTCCTGGGAAATAATTATTCCTGTAGTAAATAACTTCTTAAATTTTTTTTTTATAAAAATGAATTTTAATCAGCGCTAACGATATTTTTTTATTTGAATTAGCGAGTTCCAAACGAAACATCAAACTAAAATGGTTTTGCAATTAATTTTTTTTTACTTTTAATTTTAAAGCATTTAATTTTAGCTTTAGTTTTTATTTTTACTGTTTTGAATCCTTTTTTCTAAGTTGGATCCCAGCTTGTACCAGTTGCACTGTTTAACTGGGTACTGCTATTTATCCCCATTCAATATAAAAACCATCTTTGAAATATTTTTCACGTAATTTTACTAAGAATTGATTGTAATCAATTATATTTGTGCAGAAATTCTGGTTATAAGAGTTTAGCTAGAAATAAGTAAAACAAGAGAACAAAAATTGAATTTTTTAAAAACAAAATTAAAATAGACATTATAACAATATTGCAAGTAAATAAATGTTTTATCTAATTAGTTTAAAGAAAATTTTTTATAGATAATTAAAACTTGAGTGTAATTGATTATTAGTGATGTATATAACTATATTTCAGATATAGTTAGATACAATGAGAAGAAATTTCAGATATAGTAAGATACAATGAGAAGTCAATAACAAAGCATTTAAAAATGTTATGGTCATTCTTCCAGGATGACTGTTGATCGGGTCAGTCATTCAACCTATCATAGATAATAATACTAGTATTATTTATGATTATGTATTATAGTATTATTTATGGCTTATGAGCACTGCTTACTTCAAAGCATCTACAGTTTATGGGATACAAAATGAAGACTAGGCCTTGTAATTTTATAAAATTCAAGACAAACGGTCCATGCTCAAAACAAAGTAGCAGCGATAGAGCAAACATTTTCAATAACCAATTTTAATGAATATTTTCCAAAGGAACCATTGATTCAGGCACTAAAACTTTTTGTACCCAAAACAAAGGTTTTAACTTCGGATGTAACTATTGATCAAAATATTGTATTCAAAAACCTAAAAACGTTAGACAGAAATAAGTCAATGGGCAATAATAACATTAGTCCGTTAGTTTTAAAGTATTATTTGAAAAGCATGATTTTTTAACTTTTAATGAAACTTAATCATCTCGGCTCACAGCAAATGTTACACCATGTTACTTTAAGAAAATATTCAACATCGTTTTATTTCAAAATAGACTTGCATCACAAATCTTTTAGAAACAAATGACTTTCCTCCTTAGAACAAATCAAAAAAATAAAAAATCAGTTGACCTAAGTTTTCTTAAGATTGCAAAAATATTCTATAAAATTTTGCATCTTTGACAGTTGAAATGCATTGTATAAAAGGTTATCTTTTAAATTAGACAAAAACCTTTTTGACAAACCTAAAGTAGCGTGCTATACTTGGAGATTTAGGATGATCTCCAATTATAAAACGCTCGAGATCAATATCTCTTTTCTTAAGGACCAATATCTGCCTGGATTGATGTAACCAGTGGTGTTCCGTAAGTTTCTGTTTTGAGGTCTACTCTCTGTTAGAGTAACGAGGGGCAAAATAAGACACTTAAGCTCTAATTTATCTAAAATAGGCCAAACATTTGAAAAAAGAACTTAGTATTTTTTAGAGCAATGCCTAGAGATGATAATAAAACACTAATTTTTAACATAGAAACTTTTTCCATTCCGTAAGATAAAAAAATACTGAAAAAAATAAAAACAACAACGAATCGAAATTCGTAATTGTTATATAGCCAAGAGATGAAATGGTTGTCGTTCTCTTAATTCAAAGTGAGTCAAGATCTTTTTTGTAACACTAAATATTTAAGAACAAAACTAAATTTTTAAAAACCATTAAAACAATAAATTGCAAGGTTAGGATCATTATAAATGCGATCTGTCTCATTTTGCCTCGTCTTACCATATATTTGATAACGACCTGCCAATTTATGTGAAATCACTTGCAAAATGTATGCACATGGTACAAACCTAATGAAAGTAGTCAAAAAGTCTGAAGTAGCTCTGTTTGTTGACAACACAACTATTAATTCCTTTCTAGTCAAAAAGTCTCAAAAAAATTTTCCATCGTTTATAACAGGCAACATATTTTAAATCTGATCTCTAAAACTAATGTAACTTTCTAATATTCAATTTAATTTTCGAAATTATTTCAGCAAACGTTTTTACCGATATCAGATTTTGTTTTTGTCGGAAAGGTTGTTCTGAAATTGTGCTTTTTAAAAGAGACCGTAATTAAGACTTTAAATTTATATTTTTAAAGTTAATAAATTTATTTTTTCAACTTTTCAAATAAAAAAAAGATCATTTAAACTGGATATATTATACTACGTAGTTTTACGTGAAATTTTGCCTATTCTTTAATTGGTAACTATAAGTTTTTCATCCATTATTACCGTCAACATTATTCAGAATGTTTGTCGAAACTAATAATACAAGATTAGTTCAAGTTCACATATAAACTTATAACTTAAACGTTTCCTTTTTATTTCCTATTATTTATATCCTATTATTTCTCAATTTATTAAAATAAGACTTTAAATGATTTATCTAAAATAAATCATTTAAAGTCTTAAGTTTTTCCATAATTTTTGCGACTGATTAATTTTTAAAAATAAGGTGTTTAAAATTAAAATAAAGTAAAAAAAACTTAAAAGTTATGCATATCGCTTCTTTCGAAACTTCAATTTCAAAGATTTAGACAAATCGTCACGGCAATTTTTTTTTGATCGGGTGGTATCGGACACATGTTTGGAAACATAATAATTCGTTTGCAAATTAATAATAAACAACTTTTTTTTATATAAATATTAATACATTTAATATAATACACAAACCTATTCATTTAATTCATTTAATTCCAATAAAAAATGATAAGATTTGAAAAAAGTGTTTTAAAGTGTTTATTTTTATTATAAAAAAGCTTATGTTTATGTTTTTAAATGATGACATTATCATTCTAATTCCTAATATATCACAAACAATTTTTAAAAGCGAATTTTTTAAAAATGTGTCGGGAACAGTCCAATGCTAAATTATTGTTTATTACATTTGTGTCACAATGGCAAAAAAGAGGTAAAAATCATGATTAAACTATGTGTCCGGGCTACCCTCCAATTTTGAAACATGCCTTTTTTCTAACATTTTTTCGTTTACGTTTTGTATATTATTAAGATACACAATAACTATTTTTTTGTTTCTTTTTTTTTCTTTTTTTTTTTTTTTTTTTTTTTTTCAGTTTACATTATTTACATGTCGTGATTTCCATGTAATATAAACATATAAACTTGGAGTCTGGAAGAAGATCATATCGATCTTGTCGCCAGAACCATATAAAAATTACAATATAAATATAATATAGTATAATACAGGTAGTTTATAACAAAATAAGAATCCAAAACATTTGAAATAAGAAATGGTTAAAATAATATCTCAAAAATATTTCAATATATTATCCGTAGAAAAAATAATATTCTTTAACTTGTTTTTAAAAACAGAAAAAGAGATCGATGAATCTAAATTAGGCTGTACAATTTTATTCCAGATATAAGGTGCTCGATAATCTATACAAAATTGATTAAACTTTGTTTGACAAAAGGTTTTTTTTAAATAGTTATTATTTCGCAAACTATATTTATTCTTTACTTTAAAGGTAAATAGATCTTTAAAAACATGAAATAAGGGGTTATTCATACAACAAATGTAAATTGAATAATGGCTTGTTCAGTTGAATTATTTTTCTTAAAGCCGAACTGATTTTTATAGTAAACTATTTGAAACCAGGTAGTTGTATGTTTTTTCGAAGATAGTTTATTCTAATATTTTTGAAAACGTAGGAAGGATAGAAATAGGGCAATAATTATTTACGTTTGATTTTTCTCCTTCTTTATAAATCGGGATAACTTTTGCACTTTTTAATAGATCAGGGAAAACCCCTTGTTGTATAGATGATTGGAAAACTTTAAATAAAATATTTTTCAAACTTTCATAGCAATCTATAATAAAGTTCCCGTTTATTCCATCCGCACCGGTTGCATTGTTTTTTTTTAAAGATTTGAAGGCTCTTTCAAACTCTTCAATCGATAAGTCTAGAAATAAGTCATGGGAAGAAAGTAAATTATTTGAAGTTGTCAAAAAATCATTAAAGGAAATATTTGTAGATGGAATCCTATCAGCCAACCTACTTCCGATATCAGTAAAGTATTTATTAAATTCTTTCGCTATTTCATTTGGTTCATATACACATACATTGTTTATCTTAATCATTTTCGGAAGGAAATTTGAACAGGTTTTCTGTTTTCCCGTTATTTCTTTCAATATTTTCCATATTTGTTTTGAGTCATTTTTATATTTAGTGATTAAATTAGAGTAATAATTTTTTTTTAGGTTTTTGCAAATAGAGTTTTGTAATTTTTATATATGCGTAAATTAGCATGAGATTTTGTTTTTAAATATTTTATATACAATTTTTGTTTAATTTTTGAAGATTTTTTGAGACCCTTGGTAATCCAAGGACTACTTAAGGTTTTTGGTTTTAAGGTTATTTCGGAAACGGGAAAATTCGCATCGTACACCGAGAAGAATGTATTAAAGAACTTATTATAGATTACATTTATGTCTTCATTAAAATTTATATGCTTCCAGTTTAACAATGATAATTGATATTTAAATGCTTCTAAATTTTGTTTGTAAAAAATACGTTTTCTTATAGTTTGACTTTTATAATGTTAGGAGTTGAAATTGTGTTAATTGTTAGAAAAATGGGGAAATGGTCTGATATATCTGATTTTATAATGCCTATTTGAATGTCATTGTTATATATGTTTGTTGTTAAAATATTGTCTATAAGGGTGGTTGAGTTTTCTGTTATTCGAGTAGGCCGGTTGATAAGTGGTATTGCTCCTGATACAAATATTTCATCATAAAATGTTTTTATTTTTTTGTTTTCGCTATATTGTAAGCCATCCATATTTAAATCGCCAATTACAAAGTTTTTTTTCTTTTCTTTGTTACCTTTATGAAAAACGTTGTGCTTTAAGTATAAGCTTAAATTTTCTGACGCACCACCAGGTGGTCTATAACAACAACTTAGTAGAATGCTTTTGCTTTTTAACTTTTCGCTTTTATTGTTTAAAATTTCAATTGTAACGATTTCTTTATGGCCATCAGAAACGCACAAATCATTCCTAACGTTATGCGCAATGTTTTGTTTTACGTAAATCAGAATTCCTCCACCGCGTTTATAAAATTGTTACAAAATTAGGAAGATGGAAATTAGAGTTATTATAAAGCTCATTTTGTGAACACCAAGTTTCCGTTAACCAAATAATATCAAAATAGTTTTTAGTTTCTTCTATAAAATGTCGAAGATTTTCAAAATTTTTGTTCATACTTCTTATATTTATGTGGACAATTCTAATTTTTTTGTTTTCATCGCCATTTTTAGAAAGAAATTTTTTTAACTCACTAGCATAATGATAAAAACAATCTACTTTTAAGTCATCGCCTATATGAATATTAATAGTGCGCATAGTTACGCATTGTTACGCCTATTGTTCGTTTTGTTAATTACGGTTCTGCATTATGTAAAATATACTATTTCTTTGCCTCTAGAATTTTCTAAGCGCAGTTATATTCCATGCGGTCGTTCGAGTAAAATCAGCAATCAAATTGGAGCTAATACATTTATTTTCAAGAAGAATTAATGTTGTTTGTTTTTTAAAATAAAAATTTAAATAATTGTTAGTTTGCTATGTATATATATATATGTATATATATACATAGCATATATATGTATATCTATATGTATTTTCTCTTAGCAAAAATAATTGAGAATAGAAAAATAAAAAAAATTTCTTCTGGAATTTGTCAAAAGGGTGTTGTGTTATTCTTCATTTTAAGGTATCTAAATATGTATTTATTTTTCATTTTTTAGATTAAGTTAGAACTAAATTGACTGGTAAAATAGTTTATTTAGTACAACAAACATTTTAAGCAGTATTTGTTTTATTTTTTAGAGCAGTTTTAGAGAAGCTGATCGCTTTTTTAGTAAGTTCAAGTTATTTTCTCATACATAAATTCTCATACATAAAATACTTTTCAATATATATCTGTTTTTTTTGAGGTAGATTTAAAGTTTCAGGTTTTCAAAATTGTAGATCTTTTTAATGTATAAATAGACATTAAGTATTTCTAAGTAGACATTACGTATATATAAAATCTTTTAAAATTTAATAAGTATTTATTTGTTTAAATAAGTAGTTAATTTTTATAATTTATTAAGATTTAAATTATTAGAAAATTCATGTTTACAGAGTTGTTATTAATCATTATCGAGTTGTTGAACCAAAGAAATTGTAGAGGTTTATTTATCAAATATATACTATATATATTGTAAAAAATATTTTGGTTTTCATATGTTTTCACTAATAAATAGTTCTGTATATATATATATATATATATATATATATATATATATATATATATATATATATATATATATATAACTATATATAACTATATATAACTATATATATCCTTGGAGTTGCGACAGCATAATTGTGTGTTAGGAGAAAAAAATTTATAAACCCGCGTTAATAACCTGTTTTCTATCGTACATAATGCATTAATAATGCATTAATAAGTTTTATTACGTGTTTTGTTCAATGTTTTCTCCCAACGCATGAACTATGACGCTGTCGCAATTTTTTTTTATTGGAAATAAAATAAGTTTTTGCTGATGTGGGTGCAGGTTTTTCTTAACTTCTATCAAATAAACTTAAGAAACCTGTATTACTTTTGATGATGGCAAATTAATTTTATTTTGCATTTGTTTGGTTTCTTTTTATATATTTGTTTTGAAAATTTTTTTTTAAACTTTTTCGAGTATGATTTTTTTAGTTATTAAGTTTTTTTATATATTGTTAACTTTAGATTAGTAAAAAAAAAAGAAATAATTAGTGTTGCTTTGATAAATATGTTTAATGAAATTGATGACATTGAAATGGATGATAGGCTAGATGTAGTTTTGTATTTACAAGATGATGTAAGTGCTATAAGGCGTGTTGAAAGATGAAATTAATTGTTTACAAAATGAAAGAAATAGGCTCTATCGAGATAATGTTAATCGTCGCCAAAATGAAAGAAGAGCTGTTGGACAAGGACGAATGTATTCTATAGCGAGAAGTAATGCTATTCCAGATTATAATTATTTAGGAGAAATGAATCAAATTTGTCAGCACTGTGGTGCTAAGAAATTTCTAGATGAAACACATTTTATATGTTGCCATAATATTAAGGTAGCTTTGCCTCCACTTTCACCAATTACACAAGCTTTACAGGATTTGTTTACAGGGAGTTATGTAGATTGTAATGCTAATGCTATTTTTTTTTTTTTTATTAGTAATTGTTATTATTATTATTTTTTTCATTTACTATTTTTTTGTAATCAGATACTTAAAATTAAACGAAATATAAAAAATTTATCTTGCAAAAGTTTATAATCTAAATATTAATAGCCGAATGAATATTATTAGTGCGCATAGTTACGCATTGTTACGCCTGTTGTTCATTTTGTTAATTACGCATTGTTACGCCTATTGTTCATTTTGTTAATTACGGTTCTGCAATACGCTATTTCTTAGTTTTTAAACTTTTCTAAGCGCAGTTATATGTTTGACGCGGTCTTACGAGTATAATCAGCAACCAAATTGGAGCTGATGCACTTATTTTCAAAAAGAATTGATGTTGTTTATTTTTTAAAATAAAAATTTAAATAATTGTTAGTTTGTTGTTGCTTATTTTTTTTTCTCATTTTTATAGCCTGTTTTTATTTTTTAGAAGAAGTTAAAACTAAAATGTTTGGTAAAATAGATTGGTAAAATAGTTTTTTTAGTAAAATGTTTCTTTTTTAGTAAACTGTTTCATTTTGTCATTAGTCTTTTTAGAACATTTTAAGCAAGTATTGTTTTATTTTTTAGAGCAGTTAGGAGAAGCTGATGGTTTTTTTAGTAAGTTCAATTCGTTTTCTTATTTATAGATAAAGATTGTTTTTTGCAAAAAGAATTATAAAATAAAGTTTTATATATGTATTTAATATGAAAAGTTAAATAAAATAAGACTGTTATTTGTGTTCATGTAAGCTTATATACATAAGTTTGCGTTTATTTTAGTCTATTTTATATTTCTCTATATCTATACTATATGTATATTTTCTCTTAGCAAAAGTTATTGAGAATTTTTTTGACTCAAAAGAATGTTGTGTTATGCTACATTTTAAGGTATCTAAGTATGTATTTATTTTTCATTTTTTAGAAGAAGTTAGAACTAAATTGACTGGTAAAATAGTTTTATTAGCACAATGTTTCTTTTTTAAGAAAACTGTTTCAGTTCTGTCATTAGTCTTTTTAAAACATTTTAAGCAAGTATTTGCTTTAATTTTTAGAGCAGTTAAGACGAAATGATCGCTTTTTTAGTAAGTTTACTTCATTTTCTCATGCATAGGCTAAGATTTTTTTTATATAGAAAGAATAATGAGAATAAAATTTTATTTATGTATTTAATATGAAATGTTAAATAAAATAAGACTGTTATTTGTGGTCATGTAAGTTTATATACATAAGTTTGCGTTTATTTCAGTCTATTTTATATTTTATATCTATATGTATATTTTCTCTAAGGAAAAATGATATGGAATAGAAAAATTGCTCTGGAATTTGTCAAAAGAGTGTTGTGTTATGCTTCATTTTAAGGTATCTAAATATATTCTCATTAGAAATTTTTAATTTTGTTTTTAAATGGTTTATTCTTTTTCATTACTTTAGATAAATATATACTGACTGACATAACTTCATTTTTATTAACAATGTCGTTCATTATAGTCTGCATTCTTTGTACATTTAAAATAATTGGTACTAATAAATGTTGTTTTATAGTTGTTAAAAGTTTGCATATATGTTTGCATGTATATTATGATCAAAGTTAATATTTTTTTGATAAATACATGTATGTGGTGATATATGTTATAGTTGTTTTATAAATGTGTTTTTATAATAGTATGAAATGTATTATATCTAATTTCTGCAAGATTGTTAAATGGGGTGTTTTTATATGCTAAGTAACATTAAAAAAATATATTGTTTTATAATTAGTATATATGTTTATATAATGTTGTTTCCATGATTTCAAAGTGAAGTGACTTGGCAAACGTGTAGAGCAAGATTTATCAACCTTACCAGTCAAGCGATGTTACTGCTTTAGGTCTAAGTGTTGCCTAGCCTTTAATATAACTATTGTGAAAACAGATTGCTTTATCTTTAATAATTTTTTGCGTAATGTTGTTACCTTTGGTTTATCTTTACGTTGGTGTCAGCTGTTAAAAATGATTAATAAGTAGTTTCATTATTAGAACTCACTGCTTTTATTTATTTACTGAAATTCATTTCGCTATAAATACTATTTGTTTATCATAAAAAAAATAATATTTAGCAACTACTACTCAGGTATCACCACAGCTTATCTCTATCAGGTACATTAATTTTCAATTCACATATGTTTTTCTTTGTTACATTTTTAACTTCAGATTTATGGTGTATTTATTTGCTATAGAAGAACAAATCATTTTGAATTTTAAAAAAAAATCTA